ATGACGTGAATATAAAATTATCGTTATATTTTTTATAGATCGTGAGGTATCTAAGTGTGACGATGTGAACACAAATTCGTCATCATATTTTTTATAGATCATTGGTACCTAAGTGTGACGACGAACTCGTGAACCAATCGTCACTTGAATGACGACGCAAGCGTGAATCATTTGTCACTCGAATGATAGAGCGAATACTAATATATCTCTGACGACGGTGACGCATTTCTGTCATCACTCGAATGACGACGGTGATGCATTTCTGTCATCATACTTGAGTGGAAATAACCTAGACTAAGTGGAAATAACATAATTATGTTATTTCCACTCAGTTCATTTCAACCAATGGTCGAGTGTATATGAAGATCATTGGGGAATGGACAAACAAGCGAAGATAGACAATATCTCGCTAAACCCACCCAATAGTCTTATTACTTTAAGCATGCAACACATACAGCTTTATACCTCACCCCTATATAAAAAAAAACTAATTAAATCAAAACGGCCTAACTGCAAAATAATAGAGGTTAGAGAGATATATATATAAAAAATATATATATATATGTAACTCAATCATGTAAATTTGCTACAAAATATGGGCAGCCAATAATAAAGCAGGCCAACTACACGCGTGTGATATTGTCTATCTTCGCTTGTTTGTCTATTCTCCAATGATCTTCATATACACTCGACCATTGGTCAAAATATTACTAGTAAAATTTAAACTTTTATTTTTAGTTACAAAAACTTAAAAGGTAACAACCAACCTACTATATTAGATTACTACACTTCTAAAATAACAAGTTTTATAATATAATATATTTTTAGTAATTTAAAATTAAAATATATTTTTAGAAATAAAAATTTTTTTATATGGTAATATTTCTTTATAGTTATACTCTTGGTTCTAAAAAATTCTGTACTTATAAGCAATTGTGTTTGTATAGAGATCAAATTTGTTATATTTTATATAAGTTTATTTTAAAAACTGAATATTTATAAAGAGGGTATAACTATATAAAGAGTGACTGTATAAGATAGCAGAATGTAGATAAAAAATATAAAATTAAAAAAATTTTATAATAAAAATTTTTTAAAACAAAAACTATTATTTTAAAAATTTATAATAAATTTAAAAAACTTTTATAATAAAGCTTATAAAATATGTTTTAAATAAAATACTACAATATACATATATACAGTATATATATATATATTTGATATTAAAAGGTGAGGCCTTGCTCATATCTTTATTGAGTAATTTATATAAGAAATCGTAAAGAAACAAAACTAAATGAAGACTTAATTCATATATAAATGAATAAATATAAACTACATGCAAGAATAAAAGCTCAGACTAATTTATCTGTGACCTAAACCTATACAATATACATATATATATAAATATACCTCATATTATTAATATTTAAAAAATTATAAATACTTTTTAAAGATTGCTTAGAATATAAATAAAAATATACTGTATATTGACTAGCAAAAGTAGTATTTTATTGTTTTTTTGGTAATACAGATTATTTATATACATGTTTGATACTTGTTACTTTTTTAGAAAGCAAAATACAGTCAACTACCGATATAACGGACACCCTTAGACCGGATTCTCCGATTTAACTAATAAATTGCAAAGAATCGAATTTTTAATAATATATAAATGTTATATGTCGCGGATGAAGGTGATCGTGAAATCTGGGGCCTTAATTAAAAATATAAAACCTATACTCTTTTATTAAGCCCTAACCCTAAATTCTGATCCTAATCTAAGAAATGTACACCAAAAATTTTTAAAAATCAAATATTAAATGTTTGATTTCACGATCATCCGATTTCATGACAATATATAACAGATAATGGGTATAACGGATTAAATAAAAAGAGATTTTTATTCAGCTCAGATTTTCCGTTATATATATAGATAGTTGACGTAGTATACAGTAATTTTATATTTAAAAAAACAGTTAATAATCGAGCTATGCAAAAAAAATAATGATTAAATAATGATTACGCAATTTCAATTTTAAGTGAGAAAAAATTCGATGATTCTTATTAATAAATAGTAAAGGCCTGCACTAATTTATACATCAAGATCCCCAAAACCCCAGGTCATAATGCATCAGAGTTCTGCGGATAATTCTTCCAACAATGCATAATCATGTGATATTTAAGATTAGTGTTAGACTAGGCAGATTTTGGTAATGTCGATGATTTTGAGGCTGAGCTTCAAGTTAATGCGGAGTGTAATTTAAGGTCGTATTTCAAGTTAACGACAGATGCATCTAGATCTAATATAAGTCAAGTGTCATAAAATTTGGACCATTTTATTATATGTTAAAATCGGGGTTAATTGGGTTTAATATATGAAAAATAAAGCCAGTTCCAAACTTTTAATTCAGCGGAATGCTCTATATCACCAATTAGTGGGTTCTTATAAAATCTCGAATATTGAGATAGAAAGAATCATATAAGATCTCGCATTGTACATGTAACATAATTCAATTGCTAAATAGATAGTATATTTTTTTAATTTATTAAGAAAATAAGGTTCATATATTAAAACATTTGAATGACTTCTCTGACATTAATAATTACGCCAACCCTTTAAAGATGATTTCTAACTATAATATGGATTATCTAAAATGTATTTCTGTAATAAAAAAAAAAAAAAAAAGAAGCCGAATTCACGTTTAAGAGAACATTGTAGCACTTTTTTTAAATAGAAAATTTGTTCAAGATTTTTTAAAATCTTTTTTAGTGGCAGTAATAAGTAGGATTTGAGACATAAGGCCCTTGAGCATACCTCTTAGGACATGGGACAGAGAACATGATTATCTAGAAACCAAAGCATGAAAAAATTTCGAGCATGTATTAGGAATAGTGTCAAAAATTTTTTCATGTCTCGAACCCTAATGGTGAGACGACTAATAAATATTTAATGCTATCATTAATACAACAAAAAAGTGTTATGAATTTATTTCTGAACTCAAAGTTCCCGACTGAACATAATTCTGTAGTGTTTCTTTAATTTTTTCATCTAGGTGAATAATTCTCAATCTATTTATTATCAAGTGCAAATTGTTTATACCTCTGCTATAGCATCGACAAAGAAATTTATCAAATGCTTCATTGTTCAGATTTAAATTTTTATCTAATGAAAGTACTTTTATGGATAATGGAATATTTTTACCAAAAGCTTCCGCCCAAATACACATATCTTCTTCTAATAATTGATCATCTTCATATCGTTCCACTGTTAAATTTTGTAGACGTGTAAGCGTACGAATGCATGTTGGAAAATACTTTACTGTGGATGCAGTTAACGAAATTACTAATTCCTTCAACATTGTACAATTCTCTGTAATTGACTTAAACGGCAATTCCTCGTTCTCTGGATCAATCGACTTAATCCATTTCATTTTTAGCACTTTAAGGTTATTGTTCGTATTTTGAAGTACGCTTGAAATATGTTGGTTATTCACCGCAAGTTGACATAAATCAAATTCATCGAGATTATTTAGTGATTTATATTTTATGATATCCTTTAATTCATCCGCATCCTTTTTGGCATCATCATCGTAATAATGTTCAAAATTATCCAATTTCAATCTAAATAATTTTAATCTAGTGCACTCTTGAAAAGTTTCCAACGGAATGGATCCGCGTTCATAGATAATCAAAGATGTTATATTATTTAGTTTATATCTAAGCGAATTAGTGATTTGTGGTATCGGTTCTGAACATCTATTTAAGGTTAATTTTAAAGGTGATGTTGATAACGTATTGATTAAAGAAACCAGTGCTGTGTTATCATTCCAATTAAAAGAATCATTCCAAACACAAGAAATTTGTAAATCATTTATTTCAGAAAAAATTTTTGAAATTTTAAGGTAAACTTCTGGAGCATGACTCGTAAAACAAGAAAGTCTGTCAAGAGTAGAATTATAAGGAATAATGCCAAGTAAACTTTCAAATTGAATTGATTCATCCCATTTAATTGAGTTCATGTTAATTTGGTAAGTTAATTTGGGACTTTCAGAAACGAAAAGTTTGACTAGTTCTTGTAATAGGCCAATACGCTGTTTTGTAGTTTTTTTGTTTGAACTTTTACTGTAACATGCTTTATGGAGTATGAGTCGATTGATGGCTTCATAAAGGCCTTGTAATTCGAGCTTTTGTAAAAAGGATGCATAGTTGAACGTAGGTTGTTTTAAGGAAATTTCGAACTGGTTCTCGGAATTTTTTAATAACGACTTTGATATTTTTGGAAGATTTGAGATATACACTTTGAGGATTTTTTCTAAAGACTTTTCTTTGCCTACGCAAGTATTTAAAGGATCCTCCCATATGATTGAAATAGCATTCATGCTCCAATAACGATTTACTAAAAGGCATGTTTCAAATAGACTTTTATAACGTGCATGATGGTTTTTGATCTCGACATTATATTTGAATATATCTTGAAGTATTTCTGGGGGGAGACGAGAGGCGATTACACTTGTCATGCTAGCGCTAGGTTTGATTGATTAAACAGACGCAGTATAACACTTATATATGCACGTATCAAAGGTTGTAAAGTTTCACAATATTATATTATCGTTCTTCATAAAAGGTAATGATCATTATAGCATACACAATGCTTAATATTGTCATGCACGCAGCTGTAATGTAATTTTGCATACTATATAATGTTTCAGGAAATGAAAAAGTTATTTAATGCTTAAAATCTTTCAATTCATGTTTTTTTGATAATACCCCTAATACAATATTGTTTTCATTCATCACATACTTTCACGTTAGGCTATATCGAGATTTCGAACAAGTTTATAATCAACCGGGTACCAGGAACCAGGATGTGTATCACGTGACTTTACATTATTCTCAAATTTTATTACAATATCGTAACAATCTAGATTATACTGTTTTCAAATGATATCATTTTATTTGGAAAAAATAATATATACTGAGCATTTCTATGTTATACTCATCATTTGAAAATATTTAAAATTATCATGTAGAAAACTTGTTTCTTGTTTTTAAAATCCTGATCATTTGATTCATATTTACTACTAATAACCATCACTTCTGGGCAGTGTGAATATCACTTTTAGAAAACAATAATATAAAATGACTATGTAAATGTACATGCAATGGTCTATTAATTATATTTATAGTGAGATCTTTAATTATTGTGTTAATTGCATACTTAGAATGCAAAGTACAATATCAATTTAACCGCTATAAAAGCTTTTTCTTTTTTATAAAGATACGCCCTGCCTTTACTTCTATGCACTTATTCTTTTGACTACAATTGATAGCTAAATAAATTTTTATTTTTGGCGTTTATCACAGTTCTTTAGTGAATTTGATTCGTAATGTGACGGAATAGGCATGATTGATTCAAAGTATGCCCATGATCAAGCGTGATTACTTGCATAAATATTATCATTTAGCTTCATATATGTACACTAAAATAGAAATACATAAACTGTAAAACCCACAAGCTCAATTTAAAGATTTTTATTTTTATCTTATGGATTTGAACGACATTCCGGATAGACCCGTATAAAATTAATTAACCAAATCCTCAACCATAAATTGTATTAACCTGTAGACATTGTATTTTAGATTGTTTATCAGATAAGTCAAGATTACGTAATATGCTGTTTAGAATGGAATTTTTGCAGATCTACGGCAATCTTGCGCGGAAAATTTCTATTCATTTTGTAGACTAAAAATTCTTGAAAGTCAAAGCTGAAAACTTACACAATTGAAAGAATAATCCACTCAAAATAACAATTCATGAATTTAAAATTTTCGACATAAATAATAATAATTTATACTGTACTTCATCTACTATTTATAACTCAAAGTTGGTCAAATCGTTAGTCAACTAAAAGTTGCAGATTAATAGCCGTACGTAAGGGTCTGATCTAGTCAAATTGGTCAAACGGATCTATTATTTTAAATAGGTTAGTTACACAAGTGTAATGTATACTTAGTACGTATATAAATGGATATTATAAATCATCAATGTACAAAACAAAGCACATATATGGGTTGCCATTAATAGAAAACAGCAGATTAATATTTTTAATCCCTAATTTTCACAGATCGTATTTCAATGAATTTTAAATCAATTTTGATAATTTAATAGTCATTTGATCAAAATATATCGAGACACAAGCTGTGAAAACTAAGAAATTACAGTAATTTTTTAAAATAGCAATTTGCCTGTTTTTTGTTTGACGTTTGTCTGTATAATTCTAATATAATTCTTTATATTTTATAATTTATTATTATTAATATATATATTAATATATAATATATATATATATTATTAATATATATATTATTATCTTTTTTAATTAACTTGTTAAATAAATATAATATAAATTAAAATATTTTTTAAAAATTAGCTATAGTATAAAATTTTGGTTATAAAATCATTTTTTACAAAATTTTAGATTAAACCTTTTTTACTAAAATATTCTATTTAATTCGCGATCCGCCAGTGAACCAGTGAAATTACATAGTAAATGTTGGGGATAAGTTTACTATGTAAATTTTGCCTTTTTTGAAATCTGGAGTTTCCCAAAGAAACAATTTTTCCTTACTAAGTAAACCTCTTTTCGGCGCCTAAGTAAAGTTGTAGAGAAGTGTCTTGTGATCAGAATGGCAGTTAAAACGTTAAAATTGGCCCAGTGGATTGAGAGATATAAGTATTTTAGTCTTTGCGACTATATGTTTTCTTCTTTATTTATATAAAGAAAAAAAACATATAGTAGCAAAGACTAAAATGCTTATAACTCTCGATCCACTGGGCCGATTTTAACGTTTTAACTGCCATTCTGATCGCAAGACACTCCTCTACAATTTTACTTAGGCGTCGAAAAGAGGTTTACTTAGTAAGGAAAAATTTTTTCTTTGGGAAACTCCAGATTCCAAAGACAATAGTAAATTTCCCTACTTTTTACTGTGTTTTCACTGGTTCACTGGCAGATCATGAATTAAATTTTATTTATACCAAATTTTATAAAATGTTATCTAGTATATAAACAAATATAAGGTAAATGGGGGTATTGTGGCCAGGTTAAAGTTTCTACTAATAAAATTTTTTTAATAAATGTATAAATTTTTTTATAACAAATTATTATTTAAACTATACCCAATAAAGAATAAAATACTGTAAAAAAGATATTCATACCATATATGTTCTTAAACAAAATCTATAAATTCTATAACTATATAATAAAAATATTTGTGTGTAATGATAACGTTTAGATTACTAATATAAATAATTCAATTAAATTG